ATTTATAGATGAGAAATTGAACCCACAGAGGGAATGACTTACAGAGGTCACATGATGACCGGAGGCAAAGCCATATCTGGGATCTCTGCCTCTCTTGACAGATCACACCCGATAGGATGATTCTGCAGCGTGAAGTGAATGAAGGATGCACACGCAGAAGCAGGGGCTTGTGCTGAGTTAGGGACTTGGGATCTGTGCTCTTGGATAAGCCGCACCTCCCTAGGATGGGGCAGGATAAATGAACAGAGCTCCTTGCTCCCAGGAAATGTCCCTGGGCATCAGGAGAGTTCTGCTTTCTGTCTTGATGCTACTCACTTATTTTCAGGTCTTGCGGGAAGAGCAAGCAGCATCAGCAGGGTTCAAAGGCCACAGGTCTCTCTGCCATTAACCCATCAGCTGTAATCAGCCCTGGTTCCTCGCAATTACCCCTCATTCAGGAAGAAAATAAAAGTGGAACCAAATGGGAGGCTATCTGCCCAGTCACATATAGAACTAGCTGGGACCTTCAGCAAATCATTTGACCTGGTTAAGACTCAACGTTCGCAATACAAAAATGAAGGGAATTGGACCACGTACTTTCTCTGTGTTCTTTGGGGTGTCTCTTTTCTATTTCTTTTTTTTTTTCTCTTTTCTATTTCACTGGCATGTTGTGGGGGTAAATGAGGCAATGACTGCAGGATATAAGTCAATTAAAAGATGTTACTCTTATCACCATCATTTACAGACTTTTCCTCAGCACGTATCTTGGGGACCTGCCAGCTTTTGGGTCACATTTCACCCAGAGGAGCAAATGAATAGAAAGGCTGAATCAGGGTTCCATACTTAAGAGCTAGAGTATAACTGTAGGTAGTTAGTTCACTGTCCTTTGAACATATCCCCTTGGCTTCCCATCAGAGCATTTGAACCCCATGCCAATTTGTGTCATTTGGGGAAAGGAATCGATGGAAGAGATATGATCAAAACTTGTAACCTGGAGAAGAGTTTCTGCTGAAAATCTTAGTATAAAAGTATAATTTTTGCCAGAGAGGAAAGAGATCATTCTTCACAAAGTTCTATTTTTCCATTTTTTTGTTTTGGCCATCTGTGTCTTTGTTTATTAGAACTGCCATTTTCAAGTCTTATTCAAGATCGGTCATTTCCTATTTATCACCAGAAAAACCGCAGTATACAATTTGTTTTGTATAAAACTTATCTTATGGATTTGAAAATAATATGCTTTCATGTAGCATTTGGAACAAAATATATAAAAGTATTAAAGAGAAGAAAAATATTAACTGTACCATTGGCACTCAGATGTAACTGTGGAAAATTTTAGTTTACTTCTGACTAGTCTTTTTATATATAATTATACATTTGCAACACACACAAGGTACCTTCTTAGGGTCTATTAAATATTCAGACCTACAGACAACCACGTGCCACATCTGGCATTGGCCCACTTGGAAGGAACCACAACTTGCCATCAGGGTAGCATCACATGCAAGATGCTTCAGCAAGAGTCCTTGCAGTGGTTCAGCAGAGCATTAGAGCTCAGGAGCAAGGAGGCTGCAGACAAATTAATGGATGCAGGAGCTACCCTACTTAGAAGCCTGTGCCCTATAGGAGTCAAAATATGGTGCAGCAACTCCACAGGCATAGCTTCCAAGGTCTCAAAATGGACATGCCAAGTTTCCAGAGTCACTGCACTTGAATGTCCTAGCATGGTACCTCCTTGGGTAATTAAAGTTCTCTGAGTCCACATACAGTTCACCAATCAGGGGCTAATTTTGCCAAGTAACATAAATACATATCATCTTTTATTTTTCCCCTAGGGAAACAGCCAGAAAATTAAGAGAAGTTCAGATTCCCTTGTAGAAGGGAAAAAGATTTCCCTTGCAGCACTGTATATATTTTTCAACCTTTAAAAAATCTTAATAGTAAATCACAAGCATGTTTCATCGCTATTAAAGGTGTTTAAAACACATGACTGCCCCATAGTGTATTTACACACTCCTCTAATATTGTATATTTAGCTGGTTCTGAGTTTTTCACTATTAAAACTATTGCTGAGATGAAAATCCCTATATACAAATCTTTGTATTTAAATAAAACTCTGATTATCTCCTCAGCATAAATTCAGGAAATGGTATTAATGACTGGTTCTGAAGTCTATAAAACTCTTAATACATCTTTGACAAGCTTCTCCTTAGAAAGAAAATATTAGTCTACACTTTGACTAGAATTGTATGAAAGTTATCTGTACCTTCAACAACACGGGCTATGTTTCTTTATAACATTTACCAATTTTATATGGGGAAAATGCTGTATTTTTAAAAATTACTTTTCTTTGATAATTGATGAGTTTAGAAATATTTATATGCACACAGTTTATTGCTTTGTTAATTGTTTATTCTTGTCCTCCCCCATTTTTACTTGGGGGAGCTCATCTTTTTAAGAATAAAGGGTGTTTACAATTGAGTCTCATATGCTACAAACATTTTTGGAATTTTAATTTACTTTCTCTTGTGACAGAATGCTTATTTTCAGGTAGACAAATCTATCAATCCTTTTCTACATGCTTGCATCTACATTCCTGAGTGAGATTGCTGTTGCTATTCAGGGTGTGTTTGTGGGTGTGTATATAGACTTTGTAAGTGTTGGACATCCATATTTTTCTTACTTTGTAATGTGCATATAAAAGCTTTCTGGAACATTTTATATAGTTATGGATTTTCTATTCCTTGAAAGTTTGAAGAAATTTATACTATAGAAATATGTCCTCAGTACTACTTGGTGAGATAAATTTTAGACACATTAAAAAATTTATTCTATTGTTATTCATCTATTCAGCTTCTCTACACCTTTGTAAGGCATTGTTAGTAAATTATCTTGTCATGAAATATTATCATTTTTTTTGAGATGTAAGCATTTATTGGCACGGAGCTGTACATACAATTTAAATAACAATACAGTGTAGACTTTTAAAGCTTTGTGTGTTTTTGCTTATATATTATTTTTTTCCACTGCTGCCTTTCTTAAATTAGACTAGATGGGGGTTGTACATTTTACTTTTCAAAGAATTAGCTCCTGATTTTATTTATCAATTCTATTATTTTCTGGTTCACTGGTTTTTTATTCATAATTTTTATTACTCACTTTCTCTTGCTTTCCTTAGTTTTTGATTAATGGAAAGAATCTCTGTAATTACAATAAGTAACTATAGGAGAACCTAGGCAATAATATTTCTGGGGTCTGGAAAGAGGAGAGAAAAATATTTTAGTAAGTTAGTGGACCACTCAGAACTTGATATATGAACACATAAGAAAAGGATATGTTCATGAGATAGGAAGAAACCAGGATCTGATTCTGGACTAAGCCCAGTGCCTCCAGGCAGAGCTACCATCAAACTATTTCAGACAGAGCCCAATATGGCCTCCTCGTTTAACTTGGCGTTGCCTTTTGAGGTACATGGAAGGGTGTCTTTTGTGCTTTCTCTTATTCCAGGGTTGGTAAGAAAGCATAAGATAAAGGTAAGAGGTATACAGAGATCTGGGAGAGGGCGCATCTCCCATCACTCTGAAGAGATGCTACCAGTGTTCTCAGTGAAATTTCATTCTACTCAGGTAGAGGAAGTTGGTCTGTGACCCTGAAGAGGGCGAAAAACAGTTTCCAGTCAAGTTCTTTGTGTACCTACTTCTAACCACTTAGTACATGCCAGACACTGTGCTAAGTCATGTGTATGAGTCATCTTGTTTAGTCTCGTGACAACTCTATGAAATAGTCATATTATCCCCATTTTTCATGGGGGCAGGGCACAATAGAGCGACTTGCCTGAAGTCACACAGCCGGGACGTGAATCCAGTATGTCAGACAGTAAGCTGTGTTTTTAACCACTCTGATACATCACGTGTTATCAGCACTGACCTTCATCTCTACAGCATCATTTTATCCTTTAAGAAGGAGTGTAGGATCAATGATCAAAATGAACTTAGAAGCACTGTGACTCATTATGTCTATATTACTTCTCAAAATTCTATTCCATTTCTCATCTTAAAGCAAGCAAAAAATTTGCATAGAAAAGAATCCTTGAGCTGAATGTCTGAGCAATCAGTATACTCTTCAGCATGCCAGTAAGTATTGTTATTACTGCACAAAAAAAGAGGGGAGAGGGAAAGGCCAGGCGGGGGAGGAGGGACAGTCGGGGAGGGGGTAGCTATTGGAAGAAAAAGGGGAAAACGATCACTGAGATCACATCCCAGACAATCTGAACTTGTAGCACATTTCAACATAGAAATGTTTATTTTAAAACCCTCGCCAAGTCATTTTTAAAATTAAAATGTCAAAGTGTTAAATCACTTTACCAGATAACACAGATATGCGAGATTTGTGCTTTGAAATAGGCTCCCTAAAGGATTGTCTGATCAATTTTTTTTTCCTCATGAGAGAGAAGAATAAACTAAATGACGGTACAGTTGCAACTTAATTGAATGTGATGCAATGTGAACAGAGCCAGAGCTATCAAGAAGGAATCACAGCAAACTTCAGGTCAAGCGATTTCTCTCATCTGTGGTCTCTCTGGAAGTTCAATCAAATCAGCAGGAGATACAGGCCCGGGGGATTCTACTCCACTCTGATCAGAGGCTTTATATCAATGCCGGCATTTATATTCAAGACGTCTTCTTAATACACACGATCCACTGTATATTTTTTCAAGCTCACAGTACCTGTTCTTAACACATTAGCCAACCATGCCTGTTGATTTGTGACATTCACACATTCTTAAAAAACATATATATACATATATGTTCAGATACCAAAAAGCAGAAGCCACTTCTAAAAGACAAGACCTATTTTAATGAGCTTTTTAAGGCAGAGCTCCACTCACTCTATTTTGGCTGAAATAGGACACCCCTGATAAAGCTGCTGGTGAATGCCCAGGAAGAGAGGAAAGAGGAGAAAAGGCAAACAAGAAATGTTGTTTGTATCTGACAATAAAGAAGGAAGTCTATTTATGTACTTACAATAGCAGTTGGGGTGGCAGCCAGCACACAATAGAGCACCAGGGGGGTGATGAAGCTGTCTTCCTCTGTCCCCGGGTAAGGCTTCATTAAGTCTCCATCCTGACAGAAGAATCCTTGGATATGCACCTGAAAAGTGTCAGTGCATTCGAAGTAGTAGGCAAGCAGCACTGTCCCAGCCATGATGACAAGCTGAAAATACAGCATGGCCACACAGAGACATTAGCAGGGCTTCGGAGCGGTGCTCGCCCATAAGAGCACCGTCCCTCCATAACCCCGGCAGCTCTCCTGGTATTGCTATTGGCGAGTGTGTGTGTGCCTGGCTCAGCGTGCTCTGGGTACGGGGAGTGTGTGTTTGCTTGTCTGTCATGTAACATCTGTTATCTAAACCTTCCAGCAAATAATGAACAGCTCCCATCGGAGAGGCAGACCACAGTAAAGCTTGTAGAGGGGCCCAGCTTCTGCTGCCCCCACCCCCTTAAAGGATGCATGGGACCCGAGGCAATATTTCCGTTCAGGGCAGAGGTGACAAGTGAAAGGGCAGTGGCATAAGAATTGGCAAGATGTAGATGTGAGATCTGTTCATGAGAAATTTCATAAAATATTAGAGATAGACTTACCTTAATATAAAATATTACAGGCATGAATGAATGAATGAACGAACAAATGAACAGGAGAGCTAAAGCTTAGAAAATTCAAGGGAAAATTTCAGAGCCACACTCGAGATTGATGGCAGGGATGAAAACAGTACAGGTGTCCCATATTACTCATCAGTTTTATCCTTTTCCAAAAAGCTTTTGCTTTTATTCCAAAATGCTTTCCACCAGTAAATCAAGGACTCTGTTGATGATCACATCTTATTATAAACGTGTATCCTTCAGGAGGCTTAGACATAAAAAGCGATGCAATTACCCTTTAATTTTGACTCAGAAATGTCCCAGATATTCACCAAATATTAAATCTTGCCTTTAATAGGTATGAGGTGTTGAGGACATATGGAAACACCAACATTATTTTTCTCATTTCTATTTGGAAGACACCAAGAAAACAGGTCTTTGAGGTTATGAAATTACAGAAAATTGAGCTGGACAAGATCTTGGAGACCTTGTAGCCCAACACCTTTGCTTCATAGATGAGAACACTGAGGCGCCACAAGGACAACTGATCACTGCTAAACCATCCGGCAAGTAAACTAAACATGTGCTCAGACTGAACATCGGCAAAGGAGGGACACGCAAATGGAGAAGAACATCTTTAAATGTCGGTTTGCTTCAAAGTATCAATGTAATCAAGGGGGGAAACAATCAAAGCTTGGGAGAATGTCTTTATACATCTTTTATGGCTTAAAATTATTTTTATTTGGAAGTATATATGGGGCAGTGAGGGTGAAACCATAATCTTTTCAGGGTTTAGGAAGACTAAAGTTCTTATTCCAGCCCTATAATGACGAACCCAAGGTCATAACTAGTAAATGTCAAAGCCAGAACTAGAACCCCACATTTTCTAATCCCCAAGAGGAAAAACACCTATATCATGGCATCAGAATTTTGCCCTATACAAAAGCGTGGATAGTTATGGGGGAGGGAAGCAAAGTAGGTTAACTCTAATGCAGAGAGGCACTATCTAGCATTTCTATCCACTTTTCTATTCACTTTTTCAGGTGCACAAAACAACATAGTGATTAGACAATTACATTCCTCACACAGTGAGAACCCCAACAAGTCTACTACTCATCTGACACCATACATAGCTATTACAATACCACTGATTATATTTCCTATGTTGTACTTTACATCCTGTGACTAGATATATATTAATTATATTATATATTCATTATATTTGACATTCAATATTATTTTATATTAGTTTCAGGTGTACAGCATAATGGTTAGGCATTTATATAATTTATGAAGTGATCCCCTGATAAGACTAGTACCCACCTGGCACTATACACAGTTTTTACAACATTATTGACTATATCCCCCATGCGGTATTTCACATCCCCATGACTATTTTGTAACTACCAATTTGTAATTCCTAATCCCTATTTACTTCTTTAGTCGAAATATGGAAGCAGAGCCTTAAACTGCTCTCTCCTCTACCTCATTCTCTGGAACCAGGCCTGTTTCTGAAATATTATCTTTGCAGTTCCTCCTCACCATAGACAAAAGCTTAATTTTCTTTAAGGGTTATTTGGATTAAGAATCCTCCCCTATCCTTCTCTTTTCCCAATTTCAATGCCTTTCCTCTCTGGCTCAGAAGGCTTAGGTTTCTCCAGTTGTAGTGTGTCTCAAGTACAAACTCCTAACCATCCTGCTAGAAAGGTCTTCACCTTTTGGTCATTTTCATCACCACCTTTCTTTACCTCCAGGTAGGCCACAAATCATTCTTTCCTTCTACTATCCATCATACATGACTTGTTTTTGGCTCTGTAAGGATTATATTCTTGTATTATCTGGCATTTTGTACTCTCCCTCCCAAGTGGACCTTCTGTCACAACTTCTAACCACCCAGTAATCTCTGGATACGCCCACGTGTATCTCTGTGCCTGAAGTTTATTGGCATGAAATCGCCAACGCTCATGCCAGCCATCTCTGCTGTTTCAAGCATTTGGTTTACTTCTTTTCTTTTTAGCAACAGAGAAGAGACTTGGATAAATATATTTCCTATAGGAATGAGAGAGCAATACTGCCCCTGCAAATGGGTACTCTTGCCAGCAACGGGTTTAAAAGTTGCTGTTTGTTTTCTGCTTGACTGGTCAACTGAGCTGACCTAATGGGAAGGAATCTAACCAGCTGACCTAAATGTTTTGGAGCTGAGATAATACTAGGATTCCAACAGTTTTGGAGCTCTGCCTCTGGGGTTGTCTGTCTCCTACACAGAGCTGATCTGGGATTTCTGTGTATCTCATCCATGTGGTTGGAAACACATTTGTCTCTCTCTGGGCATCATCGGCCCTTGGGAGATGTCTACCTGGAGAAAGACAGCCTGTATGGTGACTTTTTAGACAAAACAAAACCAAAAACTGCATGTATTATAGCTTCCTCTATTAAGCAAGAGTATTATATTTTATGGAGTACCTTTGTGCTACCACTTCTATTAAAAAAAGGAAAGGTGAAAGTGAAGTAAACAAAAGCAAATATATATATATATATATATGCTTTTATTCCAAAACGCTTTCCACCAATAAATCAAGGACTCTACTGATGATCACATCTTATTATAGACATGTATCCTTCAGGAGGTTTAGACATAAAAAGGAACGCATTACCCTTTAATTTTGACTCAGAAATGTCTCAGATATTCACCAAGGTTTAGATCTATGGTGTATATATGTAAAAGGAGTCAGTTGAAAAGAGAATAGAAACTTTTAGAACATAAAATTGTCTTAACATTAAATACATCAAAATCAACAATAACAGCAGAAGAGCCAAGGCCATATGCCTAAATTTGGAATCTTGAATAGCTGTCTGACCAATTTAATCCTGGAAGCAGCATACCAAGAGAATTAAATGAGTGAGTGAATTAATTAATTTCAGGGTGTAAAGAACAGAGGACCTTGGAGACTCAGGGTGGTAGATGTAGATGGGAACTTTGGCAGCCTATGGGACAGAACTGATCCATCAGCACGAGTCACCTTGGCTTTGCTTCTCTACAAGCAGCCATAAACCCCTCCCTGTCATTTTTCAAGCAACCCTCAAACTCCTTGGAGAATCCCCAATAAAGCCAGTTAGAGATGCACAGAAGCAAAAATAGAACAATTCTGATCTTGATTTCCAGGTTTCTCTCCTATCAAACATTCTCTCATGACCATATATTAAAAAAGAAGCTTATGCATGAGTGCAGGAACAGAAACGCCATGTTGATTCCGTTTCCATGAGCAGAGAAGTCTGCCTCGCTGCACTGATGACACCACACAGTTAGCCATCAGTGTCCTCCCTGTCTGGGCCCTGATTCATCACTGTCTAGGTTTGTGTCACTGGTGCCAGCTGGCACACTTGCCACCTCTGTTGCCTTCTCCAGCCCCATTTAGGGATGCATGGAGGGAGGCCATAATGCTGGTGTCACATGAGCAGATGGCGAGACTGTGCTGCACCCAAGTGCTGGTGGAAGGGCTGAAGATGTCAGTGTGAAAGGAGCAATTATGGCTTTAGGGGGGATAACAAGGTGTAAGGAGCTCACATACCAGGGATTTTCCTCAGCTGTCGCTTCCCGAGAATGACAATCCGATATTTATGTATAATATCCTCAGCTCTCATTACAACCATGAGAAGTAACTCAATCTTTTTTTTTTTTTTACAGAAGAAACTGAGATGTGGAGAGATTAAGAGATTGGTCCTGCTTTATCAAAGATCCCTTCCACTAGACTACTGTAACAATAACATTTAAGCATTATTAAACAATTATATCATTCAAAAAAGACACAGGTTTGTATTTCATTATCAGTGCACTTAAGAGAAGATAGTTTCTAATTCACTGTTACCCAGTAGTTTTTAAAACCCTGGTTGAGAGAAACTATACCTAAGGAAGACGTGCTTGAAGAAGACACAGTCCATCCAGCCTTCCAGAAAATGCTTACTGGTATGTGTCAAACATTGCTGGACATACTTAATAGACACTCCTCACTTAATTCTCAGGATAACTTGAAGAGGTAGGTGCTATATGCCTCATTTTACAACAAAACAAAACAACTGAAGTGCAAGAATTTAGGTCCCCGACTTAGGAAGCAGCAGAGCTGGGTCCCAACCAGGCAGTCGGGCCTACACTTTTAAGCTTTCATTGTTCTGACTCTCTCAAGTTTAATCTAGATTGAATCATAATACCTACCTCCTCTATGCTATCCCAAAATACTGTTTTTGTGCACTTCTCTTTGATGTGACATCATCAGCCTATATTAAGAGTTGATATGAGGTCCCATATGAAAAACAGCACCATGATATTCACCACTGAGTCACTGCTCATCATGCCAGACACTTTTTTCTTACTATGGGTTGTAGCCAAAAAAAATCCTTCAGTAAAACATGATTTTTTTCGATACTCACCTCACAGTGTGCAAGTTCTTTATACTATAGTGACTAAGACACACAGGTGCAGATCCCCAATCCACTAATTACTACCATATGACTTTGAACCAATTGCATAGCCTGTCTGTGCCTCAGTTTCCACACCTGTGAAATGGATAAGTCATTTCT